GGGGAAGAAACGGCGACCGGGCACTGCTGTAGAAGCGAGTAGGGCGGCCGAGGCAGCACTTGTGGCGAACTATGTACCCGGCTGATGTTGTTGTGCCCTGTTTCCCTCCCTGCTGTATGCCATACTCCTTTATGTATGTCCTTTGTATTGCCTTCGGTCTCGGTGCTGTTTTTCTTTTTTTCATGTCCTCCCTTCCCACTCTGCTGTGTTGGGTACCTTGATCTCGCCTTTGCTGTTGCTTTTGTTTCTTGTACATCTGGCTGTCTGCCCATCTTCCGCCTCTTTGTCCTGTTTGCTCCGTTACTCCCATGCCCTGGTGCGTAGTGCCTGGTGCTGGTACGTTACCCTTTGATTTTTTCTTGAGGCGGGTGTGGGAAGCGTCCTCCTATATTTTGTTTTTGTTTTATTTTGATCGGTTTCCGATGGCTCTTTTCTCGAACGGTCGGTGCGGTACCCGCCCTTTTCTTTCTGTCATTTGCTTTTCTTTTCCCGAGTGGTTCGTAACCTATTTTTATTTTGTTTCCCCGCGGCGTCGTATGTGCCGGGTTTTGAGACCACGGGCTCCCCATTATTTGCAGACTATAGAGCTAATGTGAGAAACAACAACAACAACAACATACCTACCGCCCGCACGACAGTAGTAGAGGCCCCTGTTTCGTGCCGGGGTGTGCCCCGAAACTTCACCGGCACTAACCCGGACACCGGCACTATTCAAAGTATCGAACGAGGAGAAACCCTCCGACAGTGGTTCGAGCTCGCGCGTGCAGCGGTAGATTTTGTGGGTTCGAATCTTGCTCCTCTCACTTTTCCCTTTGTTTGTTTTTTTGTCCTTTTCTCTGCGGAGAATATACTTTGCGTAGTCTGTGTGAGCTACGCAATGAATGCTGCGTGCATTGCATGTATATGTACGACGTACAGCAGCAGCAGTTCTTTTATTGTAAGGCGGCTACCGGGACACACGGTTCGCATCATCCCACCAACACGCACCAACTCACGAGCTTCTACTACAGTCATCTGAACCCACAACCCTCTGGCAAGAGCATATAGCAGTAGTAGTACTGCTTGCCACAATACACAACAACAACAGCAGCAGTACGGACCCGCACAATTAAGAAAAATTCCGTTAAGAACGTGAAGCTCTCAGCTTTTTACCAAAAACAGGGGGGAAAGACTAAGAAACACGGCTAAATCTCGGCCAAAACAAACATAGGAAACGTTACAATAAGAGACATGATCTTGCGATATTGCGATACCCCCAATACATAGTAAAGCGTTGCTGGGAGAGAACGTGTCCAACAAGAAACTACCCCCCGGCCCCGGTGTTTTACATCGGGGTTGGGTTTTCGTCGCCTGGCAACGACGTTGTAAAACAAGCCGCCCCCCCCCTCGGTGTTTGCCATCGGGGTTGGGTTTTCGTCGCTTGGCAACGACGTTGTAATAGAAGCCAATTCACTTCATGAACTCGGCAACCAGGTTACCGGGTTTGTCTTTACCTCTGGTTTTTGTTTGGTGGTAACCACAATGGTGGTCGAGTAGATCATGTTGTGCGGGGTGGAGAACCCTCACTCCGCGCAAGGGGGATGATCGCACCACGTTGTGTTAAAATGGTCAAGCACCCTCGAGGCAGTTACACAGTGCTTACAACTGTCTCTGGAAGTGAAAGCACCAGAAAATAAATTAAGTCATACGCAGCTGTCATCCGTACGCAAGGAAGTAAGCACAAGATGCCGAACACCCTTAGCAGGATGCAGCGCACCCTTCATGCGACTCGCCGAATATCTCACGGCGCTTCGCGCTTGGTGATGTGAGAGCCTGGTCCGGTGAGAACCCGGCGTGCTCCGTCCCGGCTTTGTAGGGATGCGAGGTCAATGGTCTAACGACTACGGCATGCACGACTATGAGTATGAGTATGAGTACACCCCCCCCTGGTGTTTGCCATCGGGGATGGGTCTTCGTCGCTTGGCAACGACGTTGTAAAACAAGCCGCCGCCCGCCCCGGTGTTTGCCATCGGGGTTGGGTTTTCTTCGCTTGGCAACGACGGGCCCTCCCGTTGGGCTTTCGTCGCCTGGCAACTACGTTGTAAAACAAGCG